TAGGTATTTTGGGGTTCCCAGATTCCAATATACTTTAGGCGCCTTCCTACTTCAATGATCGGGTGGCTTGACCTTTTCCGTTCTCCTTCCGGGGCGGACCGAACCCGATCTGCTTTCAACGCCCTCCCACCTCGTGGTTCCACCTACTGCTTCCGACCGATGGGTCTGCTGTTTTTGGTGCTCCTCTGATAGGGGGCCACATGCGAACCCTTCCCCTACCCCACGATTTCTGAGGGGGAGGGTGGGGTTCCTTTCCTTCGGGAGCTCCCGCGCGAAGCGAACCCCGCCCTCCCCCCCAGAAATCGCGGGGGGGGGGGGCAGGGGTACACGGCTCGCACGTGCCCCCCCCCTGTCTGTGGAGGCCGTGGGGGGCCCCGCTCCCCGAGCCCTGCCCGCTCCCCGACCCTGCGGGGGCCTCGCTCGCCGCTCCTCGCGGCGCGCGCCCCGACCCGCGCGCCCTTCGGCGCCCTCCGGGAGGAGGGCACCGTGCGCGGCGCCCTGGCGGAGGCGGGGCTGCAGCGGTACTTCGAGGGCCCGGCGACCGGGGCCGGCGGAGCAGAAGGGCCTCCCTGCGCGGCCCCCCCCCCCTCCCCCTCCCTCGTCCTCGGGGGTGGATATAGGCCTCCTGCCCTGCCACGTCGATTCGCGAATTGGCCGTTTTCGGCTCGCGAGAGGGCGTCGCGGCCGTCATTTTTGCGGGTCTAGGTCCGTCGGTTTCGGTCCCAGGCCGTTTTCACTAAGGGGAGGTGTACTAAAGGGAGGTTTGTCCATCGCCGACTCGTCCTCGGGATAACGCAAGACTCGAGCGCGGTCCCCCTGGCGCTTTCTGACGAGCGCGTCCTGGATTGGTGATCCAGAATCCGTTGGATGTCTGCAGCGCGAGGTCGCGTCAAATTTGTCCCCCGCACCCGAGTCTTGCGCAAGTCTCCCCGACATTTTTGTTCGGGGCTCTCTGCTCCCCCCCTTGTGATCCAGGCGTCGCACTGTTGGCTCGAGCCCTGCGTTTTCCTTTTCTTTCGGGCCCCAGGGCTCACAGATCGATCCGGCTCAGAAGACGCAGCAGAAAGATGGGGTCCGGGACAGTCGTCGTGTGATTCCTCGCGATTTTACAGTTGTTGCGCGTCTTCGGGCCTTGGGGCCCAGCCCCCCCCCCCCCGTGCGTCCATCGCCCCCTCCGGTCGTCCCTCCTACCCCCCTCCCGTCCTCCCCGTCCCTCCCCCCGTCGTCCATCATTTGCCCCCATTCCGTCCGTCCCTCCCCCCTCCGTGCCCGGGCATGCCCCCCACCTGCCCCCTCCGCCCGTCCATCGCTCGCTGCCCCTGGCGCTCAGAGCCAGGGTCCTGCACCTCTCGCGCCCGTGTCTCCCCACCGGTGCCCCCCAGGAGGGCCCCTGGAAACCTCCTCGCTCCGCCCTGCTCTGCGCGCCTCCTCGTCGCGGTTTGCCTCTTGAAGGGGCCAGGGCATGCATGCCACCTGCTCTCGTCGCCGTCGTTCGTCGGCGTCGTCCTTCCCCGCCTCCTCACCTGGCCTCTGTCCCTCGCTTGTCTCAGGTGTTCGATCATGGACCCCTTGCTGTGAAGCCGCAGCTGTCCAGCTTGCGCGACGAAGGCCGCCAGAAAAACCGCGCGAGGACCGCCGAAGGCCGCCAGAAGACCGCCAGAAGAACCTCCCAGGGCTGGCGGGCAACAGGGGATCCATCGTCGAATACGTAACCTATCCCTGCTCCGCCCCACTGCTCCTTTCCATCGCCGCTCCATCGCGCAAGGATGAAGTCGTGCATGTTCCTCTACAGGAGGAGTATTCAAACACAGTCAAATCAATATTCTGCGGACGATTTTTCTATTTTGTGTTGACCATTTTTGGACATGTTTTGATTCTGCTCGTTCTTCCACATGCCGCCCGAAGGAGGACCTGCCCGTCTTAACGCAAGGGCCAGGGCACGCGCGCCGCCCTGTTCTGGGTGGCCTGCCCGGCCCAGTCGATCCCTCGGGGGCTCTGGGGGCCCGCGGCGGGGGCTCGGCCTTTACGATCTGCCCCAGGGCGCGGCCTGGCCGAGATTCCGAGGTCGGTCCGGCCGTGGCGGCGAGGGCCCCCCCTCGGGGGGCCCGACAGCGAGCACAGGCGCACCGGAATCCTCACGTGGCTTTGCCCCCGTCTCTTCCCCGCGCCCCCTCGCCTCCCCCCCGCCGCCTCCGGCCCTCCTACCCGAGCCTCCCGCCTCTTCGCCCTCCTCGTCTCCTCCCCGCCCTCGCCGCGCCTCCTCGCTGGCGAAAAGTGAGGCCTCGCGGGCCGGGCCCCTGGGCCGCGACCCCGCGGACACGGAGCGTTTTCTCGCGGATGCCCGGCGCGGAACGTCAATCGGTGCGACCGCGTGTTCGCGTGGTCGCGGCAGGGACGCCGCTCGTGATCTTCCCCGTCGTGTCCCCCCCCCGGGGCCCCGGCGGCGCGCGAGGTGATAGGCAACGCCATAGGTTTCGAGGGGAAGGCGGGCTTCATCGAGGATCCGCCGCCGGAGGGGAGGGGGGCGGTGCGCCGTCCCGCCGCGCCGCGGAGGCGTGGTGTTCGTGCTCCGTCCGCTGGGCATCTTCCGTCGTCGTCGTCGTCCGTCCGTCCGCCACCTTCCCTCGTCGTCATTGTCGTCGCCGTCCGCCCGCCCGTCCGCCCGCCCGTCCGACCGTCCGTCCATCATCTTCCATCGCCGTCGTCGTCGTCGTCGTCGGGGAGGAAAGGGCAGGGAGGGGGGCGGGCGGGAGGGGGAGAACGGGAGGAGGATCCTGGAAGGTTTTCGCCCCTCCAGGGGCCTCGTGTGGGGCACTCGCCACCGCGGCTGGGTCATCCTCGAGATCTTTTTCGAGACGCGCTCCGGAAGAGGAGGGAGGGGACTTCGAGGAGGGGGGGGGAGGTGGAGGGAGGTGGAGATTGGAGGGTGCTCTTCGGAGACCGTCGGAGGAGGCTTTCCGGAGGTGTTCCAGCGTTGTCGGGCGTTTCTGCGGCGCGGGTTTCTGCAAAGAACAGGCGGGCGGGTAAGCAGAGGTGGGAGGGAGAGGAAAAGGCGCCCCCCCCCCCACCCCCCCCGAAGATGAGCGTTTCGGGCCCTCCCCCCTCCTCGTCTCGCTCCCCTCTCGTTCAAGTGGGGATGATCAACCACCCCGACCCCCATAGCTGTCGCAGACCCTGGGCGTGGAATGCGTAGCCCTGTCCTGCTCGAGTCCTTCTTTGGGCACATTCCCTTAGAGTCTTCGCTTGTCGGGGTGCACATTCCGAAGATACTTTTCTTCTGCGCTCTGCTCCTCGTCTTGCTCCTCGACCCCCCCTCTCCTTCGGTGGCAAATCATGGGAGCCTCGCATGTCCTCTTATGTCCGTCTTTAGCGTCGACTAGCGTCGATTAGCGTCTGGGAATCGTGTGACAGCGCCGATCTAGCGTCGGTAGCGTCGATTCAGCGTCGACTAGCGTCGACTCGCACGAGCCGAGAAGATGGTATGGGAGGCTCCCGTGAGTTGCCACCGAACTCTCCTGCCCTTCTCACCGCTGCGCTCCCGCGGGACAGGGGCCCCGCCGCGTTCACCGCGCCTCGCTGGGCGCCCCCCCAGTGCGGAGGGGCCGAGAAGCAGGCACCCGCCAGACATCCCCCACCCGCCTGCCTCCCCAGTCCCTCCTCTTCCTCCTCCTCCACAATTCTAGGCCTATCCTCCTTCCTCCCTCTTCCTCCTTCCTCCCTCCCTCCTCCCTCCCTCCTCCTCCTCATCCCCCTTCCTACTTGCTTACCCATCCATTAAGGGAGTCCCCGAGGAGTCACGCACAACATGCGCAAGAGGGAGGGGGAGGAGCACGGATTGAGCGGGCTACCCGTTTTCTGGCCGCGCCCGCGGCGGGCCCTCGGCCTGGCCAACGGCCCCAGCGGCAGCGGCAGCCTCCGCTTCGACGTACGGGTCAAGCTGGTAACTGAACCCGAGGAGGCCGTACTCGATGGGCGGAACCTGGGCACCGTCGGGTTGCATGTCGAGCCTGGGGTGCGCCTCGCGCAGCGCCGCAGCCACCTGGCAGCCCAAGTCGGAGGGGACTCCTCCTGCAGCATGGATCCCAGCAGAGCCCTGTTGGCCACGATGGTGCGAGCACCGCCCCGCGTCGCTGCGGGCCCACATCCTGTCCAGGACATACGGGCACCGGATCGCGAGCATGACGGACGGGGCCTTACGCCCAGCACCAGACGCACACCCGTGGAACTCCTTCAGGGCAGTGGGCAAGGCTGCCAGATCTCTCCACAAACTGATTTTCCAGATCGAGGCTGCCTCTGGTTGCCACCGCTGTTCAGCTGCGTGCGTGAGCAATGAGGCTGAACCCGGAACATGCGCAGCTGCCGAAAAGACTATCGCACACTGAAAAGACTATCGCACACTTGGCCTGTTTCTGTGCATCCTTGGGCGGCAGTCTCTCAGCCCCCCACTCGTGCCCAGCTCTGCGCAGCACCTTCGGTGCAGAGCCATGCCTCGGCGCGCACTACGACCCATGGGCGGCGCCGCCACCACCGCAACGATAGTTCTGCACATGGTCAGTTCAATCGAAAGCTTCAGCTTCGCATCATCCTCGACGTACTCAACAACTGCATCACTGGGGAAACCCAGACACAGAAAGGACACATTGACAGGATTGGGCGCAACACCCATGATGCCTACAAAACCATCGTCTTCATGAGGGCCCACTGACACGTACACCACATATACCACTTGGTCGCAGAGGGTGGCGGCGCCATTGACATGTCATGGCAAGGGGGGAAGGGCTCGCCTGGACGGCTGGCGGCATCACCCGCGCACGCTCAGCCTTCGGAAAGCGCATGGCATCTCCAAGCGCAGCCGCGTCGAGGGCCGCATCTGGCGCACAACCAGCAGCTGCACGCTCTCTCCCAAGGTCGAGGTCCTGCTCGCGCAGCTCCAGCGCCTCGCCCATTTCCAGGGGTACGTCGGTGTCCATCAGAATTTTCAAGCAACCCGAGCCAGGCCGTCTCAGGTGATTGAGAAGGCCACGGCGCGCGTGGAATTCCGTTCCGCAAGCTTGACGCCAGGGGCCTCCCGCGCGCAACTGCGCAAGATCAATGAGCTGATGCACTAGTCGCAAGTGTCCTCTGCAGCCTGATGGGGTGGAAATGATGTCCCACGCTCGGAATAGAGGTGCGCGCTGCCGCCCTGCACAGCGCCTCCAGCTTGATTGTCAGTCTGGCTCGACATGTCCTGGGCCTTCTCGGACGCCCGCGCGCGGCCCAACTCCTGTCGGGCGCACCGCGCTGACTTCCTCCATGCGAGCTTCAACGCACCGCTGAACTCGTAGTGCTCTCTGCTGACAGACCTCCCCAAAGCCTGAACCCCTGCATAGCTCAACGGGCCCTCGTCGCAGCTGCCGCCTGCAACGTCGCGCAACCATTCCAGGTCACGCTATGTCAGCTCCGCCCATGGGCCTTCGACGCCAACCGCCAGGTCCAGCAATCGCTCGAGCACAGGCGGCCCATGCACCATGGGCCTTGCAAAGTATTCGGGCCTGCGAAACCCCAGCGCGCCCTTGAAGCCGCGCCGCGGCACTGCCCAGAGTGCCTGACCGTTTGTCCCCCTCTCCTGTGCAAGGGCGGAGTGGAGCTACTCAGTGGCCGCGCGGTGCCCAGAGACGAGCGCGCGTTGAAGTTTCGCGTCGTTCGTCTTGGAGATAGCGCCTCACCACCCCGCCTGACACGACACACGCGCGCTGGCCAAGGCGTCGACGCACCTGACTTTGTGAGTCGCAGAAATTTGATGCCTCAACACTGCAGCCCTGAGAGGTCGCATCGCGCCGTGCGCTTGCAAATTCTGCGAGCGACGTCAGGTCCCCCCACGCCGTCGTTGCCTGGATGGCCCCCGCGCGCCCGTGTTCTGCCGGGTGGGGATCCGAGCGCGGCCAACAATATCCATCTCGTCTGCAGCCTCATTCACCCGCTCCCTTCTGGCAGCGGTGCTGCCAGGCCCAGAGGGGCGGGAAAGAATGGCTGACTTGCCGCGCGTAAGCTTTATCTGGAACTAGAACCCGCCATGCGTTTGCGATCAACCCCCCCCCCCGACCTTTTTGCGGCGCGTGAGACGCTGTCCGTTGCGTGACATGGCGCGCATATACTCGAACCATGAACATGCACGGTGGATCCGCAAGCCCTTAACTGAACACTTGGGCCCCGTCGCATTCCCTCATCTCAAGCGCCGCACTTTCCGTTGCAGGCTTCCCACGTATACCCCGCAACTGCCTGGCATAAATATCGTTGACCATGCAGTCTGCCAAGGGGTTCTCTTATGCATCTCTGTGATATAACCCATGACGCATCCCCAGGCGCAGCAAAGTGCACAGCGCGATGCGCTTTGGCAACTCGAGCCACAGCATGCGGGTTGATATCCTCGTCAGCGAGCGCAGGTGTCTGAAGTGCCGTCTCCAACGCAGGCAACGCAGTTGCAGGGGCTCGACACACTGCTCCGCGCACAGGAAAGCCCGCTCGCCGTAGAGCCATATGCAGAGCAGAGGCAAGATCAGCGCACATAATTACTGCAGTAAACAGGCGCTGCTTCGCCAGTGCCCTGAAGATTCTCGCCGCGTGCGAGGCCGTGCCTGCGCATCTGCATATGGTGCCACCTGTCTGAGATGGTTCCAAACCATATATCGAAACACTTGGCAACAGGAGCCCTCAGAAATGCATGGTGATGTTTGGCAACCTCCGGGTTATGCGTGATGGGGCGGTGCCCTCTGACCAAATGTGGGCCACCTCGTGCGCGCAGCCCGCGTGCGAAGGCCGACCCGTGCACTGCGGCCTCCTGCTACCTGAGCGCGGGCTTCGCTATGACTGCATGCAGGTGGGGGGGCGAAAACATCAGGGGCAGCGTTGAGCATGGCATTCTGAGCGCCATCTGGACCTGGTTCTTTGAAAGCCTTGACCGACCAAATACGCGATAGTAGCCAGGATGGCGACGGGATGGCTGCCGGGTCTAAGGATGCACGGGAAATGTCGGCCACTGCCCTTTGATTGCACATATCTGCCACGCCCTGCGGAGAAACCTCGACGCCGCCCTCGAGCTCTGCGAAGAACTTCCGAAGCTCTGCTGCCCACTCTGCGTGCGACTGTGCGCGCGAACCTTCACATTGGCCCCGGGGCGCCTTGTTGCCCCACCACTGAAACGCAGCAACCGGCGCATCCACCTCCCCAAATCACTGTCGCGAAGTACTGCCGCATCTGAGATTTGGCCCGCCAGATCCATGAGAAACCTCGCTTCGTTGTATGCCAAAGCCTTCTTGAGTACTTTGCTGTCGCAGACTGGAAGCCTCTGATCCGGCCCCATCAGATCATCTTCCGAGGGCACTTCCGCCTGGAATAACTCGCAAGCCATGGCCAAGGTATACATGGCCCCCATGCTTGAGCATCGGGTTTGGCAGCTGCAATCTGCCAACCGTTGTCTCCAACGCTGGTTGGAACGTACTGACCAATGCTGCGCCGAGGCAA